AAATAACAAGGTGCTTTGTCACCCTAGCCACAGCTCAGGTCCTCTACCTCCTGCTAATAGGTCTGCTCATGTCAAGGTGAATGGGAAACTTAATCCCGGTTGCTTTACAAAGAAGCCATTTTTTAAAGCCCTCCACCTCGGCTATGGTTTGCCGTGCTCGTCGCGTTCAATAGCAGCATTTTGTAACATTTGATTTTCTTTGGCCTTTCACTGGCTGTTGAAGTGAAGTCCCACGATAGACTCTTTACACTCCATGTTTGTCGACTGTCCCTCTCGCCTCTGAGACTGCCAGTGTCCTTTCCTGGAACATGTGCCATTCCCATACCAGCTTTCTCTTTTTTTATTATAATTTATTTTAGTTCACAGAATGCATAGTCCAAGAGTACCATAGTGACACGAACATTATAGGGTATTGGATTTAAGGTTCACATGCCTGGTACTATAAATCTGGCAAAACCAAAACAAAACAAAACAAAAAAAACCAAACCCTTGGACAGGAAGCTTATAGACCCCAGTAGTTAAACTACTACTATTATTTAGCTAAATGGGCAATATCAACTTAATTTCTATCTCCTCGACCATAGATCAGTGCAGCTCTCAGAGAAATTTCTTTGTGTAGTGGGCAGTGGTTAACACAGAAACTCAACATGGTCAAAGGGCAGAGAATAAATGCCTTTGGAGTGTTCAGATATACATGGGATATCTATTTCACATTATCTCTCCTCAAGGTGTAGGGACCATGGTGGAAGAGTGGGCTGGAGGTGGAAGAGCCAGAGGTCAGGGTGGACTAGGGTGAGAAACTGTCTTTCCCACACCAGCTTTCTTAACTAGTCCTGAGTAGAAAAGGAGAGCATCGGGCACTGGGTGGTGGTAACGGAATAAGATGCCACATGCCAGACACTGCTGTGTGCCTCACTGTTGTTAAGTTCACAGACCAACCTGGTGAAGTACGGCCATTATTGTATCTTCCTAAATGATATCAAATGTGTTCTGCAAAGTTAGCGCCCTCAGAGAACAGTTATGTTTGAGTCTCTATAAAGACTGCCCTATTGTGGGGGTTACTTCATTTTTGAAGCAGAGTGGTTGAAGCAATTTGTGCTAGTGTTATATAAATGCATGCCTGTGTAATGGGGCCACCTAAAAGTCAGGCATTTTTATTTCCTAAATGTGGAAGTTGAGATGTGGAATACTAGACGTTTTCCCTAAGGTCATACAGCCTATGGCACAGATCCTTTCAAATGCTACATTATTCACACATTCCTGTTACTCCTGTTGAAGTTATTTCTTTTGCTTTAAGAAGGCTTCAATCTGGGGAATCGCTGATCTTTCTTCCTATGAGGAAAAGCAGGTATCAAAAGCTGCCTAACAAGCTAGCAAAGATGGTCGGTGGTTAAGAGTGCTGGCTGTTTTTCTGGAGGACTCAAGTTCTGTTGCTAGCACCTAGGTCAGGTGGCTCAGTCACCTCTAACTTCAGGGAATCCACCTCCCTCTTTAAACAGGTTCTAGGGACTGAACTTGGGCTCTTGTATTGACGGAGCTGTCCTCTAGCCCTAGCTCAGCCTCAGTTATGGCAACATGAACAGATGGATGTTTCTGTGTACTTTAGGTTATATTAAAATGCTACTTGATGTTGTTTTTAAAATTATCCCGATGGTGGTCATCTGGGAAGTCTTGCAATTGGCTCGTGGGTCCTTTTGACACATTCCTAATCTCTTTGTGTGTGCGGGAGTGGGGGGCTCTAAGATCTTCCAGGCTCATCCTGTGTTTTCCTCCCATAGCCTTGGTGTTGGTCACCTCTTTGGAGATTCCTGGTTTCTTTTACCAAAGCAAACCAGCAGAGACTAGATCTGGGTGTGTCCATTGCCACTGAGGTGCCGTGCTTCTTGGGTCACCCCATGGAACAGAGCTGAACTACATCAGCCCACCTACTTCACACACACTCTCATGTTATTTCTGAACTTCTCTGCCTATCTGTGGTAAAGCTACTTTTTTTCTTTTTTTGGGGGGGCAGTCTGTATTTTACTGAGTAGGTAACACTAAGAATATGACTTAGTGCCTTCTGCTGTCTGTAGTGAAGTAAATGGAGAGCCTGGAGTAATGTGCCTTCCTGCTCTGCCATCCTCTAGGCCAGTGGTTCTCAACCTTCCTAGTACTACGACCCTTTAACACAGTTCCTCATGTTGTGCTGACCCCAATCATAAATTTCTTTCTTGCTACTTCATAAATGTACTTTTGTTACTGTGATGAATCATAATGTAAATATTTTTAGAGATAGAGGTTTGCCAAGGGTGTCATGACCCACAAGTTGAGAATCACTGCTCTAAACAGATCATATCGTTTAGACACGGAGAGATCCTATGTTAAGGAACTACATAATAGAACAATCAGAATTGGAATTAGGTTTTCAAAATGGGGCATTTTTATTTTCCCATAATTCTCACATCTTTGTAACTGCCCACTGCTTTTAGCTTTGTATCAAACCAACTAACTATTGCCTTCTTGGGATGCTTGAAGCATATTTTGAATGTCATTTTGCTGGTGTGAACAATGGAACTCATGCTTGTGTCTCTACTGAGGGGTTTTTCTCTCTAGCGTATATCATAGACCAGAGAGTTGAAAATGTAGGCCTGAGGGGCAGATGCTAGCAAGTACATCTTTACAAAGGAGTCCCCTGCCCTGACTCACCCTTCAGACCCATCGTTTCCAAGGCTTTCTTCTCTGAGGGTGCAGGGCTTCTGCAGGGTAGACACATTGTATTCCACCTGACTGTTAGGAGATGGGAAGGGAGGCAGTGCAGGAATCTGCTTCTTACCACCCACGAAGAAGCTGGCCATGGAGTGAGAAACAAGGAGGCAAGCTGCAGCCTCTGGGACTCTCTCTGGACAGGCCAACCACATGGCTCCTTTCCTTAAGTGACGGGGCACCTGGCAGCAGGGCACCCCAGGGGGCTCCCCCCTGAGCTGTACACCAGCCCTAGGGGTCCTGCAGACCTTTCTGCCCCTGGGACTGTGAAGGGTGAATATACTTGTACTTGGTAAACCATATCTTGTTGCCATATGCTAGTAAAATCTCTGTCCTTTCCATTCTTATCTTATCCAATCCTAAGACTTAGCACTTTATTTTTGTATAATATGCCCTAAACATATAATTATATTAGAAATAAATGGTAAAAGCTGTCTTTGTATGTATAAAATAAAATTCTGAATCTTACCTTGACATGCTCTGTCTGAATTTGAGCAGAAGTGGCCAGAAGAGCTCTTTTGGGGTGGCCCCCTCCTTGCAATTCCTTCAACTGTTTGCATCTATCTGCTTATTTCTTTAATAAGCAGGGTTTCTCTGTGGGGTTTCTCTGTTCCCATGTCCTCTTGCTATGGCGTCTACCATGTGAAGAGTGATGAGACCCTGAAGTCCAGTCTCTCCACCCCCCTTCCCTGCTCCCTTTCCTCTGTAGCACTCACCATCGTATTCTGCACCCCAGCATTTACTTTCTCAGGTTTTCAATCGGGTTTCCCCCTTTGACATAAACTACAGGCATAGAGAATGTGTCTGCTCTGTTTCTCAGGACTAGACTAATGCAACATAGTAGGTGTTCAGGGTACTTACAAATGATTGATGGAGGTTTCAAGCTCTGATAACTTGACCTTTAATGTGAATACCCAAAACTTCAAGATCGCTGCTGAAGATATGTGTAGTTCCTTGACACAGTAACTCCGGCAATGCGATACTCTTACCACATGTAAAGACTCCTGAAAGTATCTTCTTAGTGTCATTTAAGAAGTTGGCACAAGAACTAAAACCATTTTTTTTATTTGAGGTGGTAGATTGGAGAGATAGCTCAATGGTTAGAGCACTGCCACTCTTCCAGAGGACCTCAGTTTGAATCCCAGCACCCACATGGAAGCTCACAGCTATCTTTCACTCCAGTCCCTGGGGATCAGATGCCCTCTTCTGGCCTCTGTGGGCACAGCATGCACATAGTGCACACACATGTAGTAAAACACCATACATATAAAAATAAGTGAAGAAAATTTAAAAATATATATTCAGAAGTTATGGTGAGGGCTGGAGAGATGGCTCAGCAGTTAAGAGCATTGGCTGTTCTTCCAGAGGTCCTGAGTTCAATTCCCAGCAGCCACATTGTGGCTCACCACCATCTGTAATGAGATCTGGTACCCTCTTCTGGCCTGCGGTATATATGCAGACAGAACACATAATTTATGTATACATAATAAATAAACAAACAAAAGAAGTTATGGTAAATTACCTTCAAATTCACCAAAAGAAATCTTGAACCCATCCTCAGTTGCCCAGTTTGAGCCATTATTCTATTTGTCAGATTTAGCAGGAAATGGCCTCTGGTTGCTATAAATATTCTTACGAATGTTTGCCAACATAGAAGATATCAGAAAGGATGTCCTGTAAGACAGTGATTCCTTTAAAGGAGTATCAGCACTCATTTGAATATGTAAATTCTGTTAAGGAGCCTTAGCACTCATTGACTAGATAGATTCTGCTAAAGGAACATCAGCACTCCTTTGAATAGATAATCTGCCAGGTTTGTTTTTCAAATTGTATTGCTTTACATTTTCATCTAGATTTCAAGTTTTCAAAGTGCTGACATTTTCTCACAGACCTGGGGCTCAAACCTTGGGCCTGTGTGTGCTAAGTAAGCATTCTGCCACTGAGTTCCACGCCCTGCCTGTTGAACCACTTACATTTTATTTCTAAAAAACCACCATCTTATTTGCTCAAGGCACACTAAGATCATTATCAAAGGGCCTGTGACTTCATTTGCCATTTTATCAAATAGGTTTTTCAGAATAAAAGTTTTAATGCCAGATTTCTTGCAGTGGTCTAGCCAGGGTTAATAAACACAGACATGAAAGACAGTGAGGCCAACAAGTACCATACAGATTTTGCAAGCCATCTTTGAACTGGTTGGAACCAAGTTCTGTCTTCGTGGAGGGCTGACATATCTCCTGTCCTTGCTGTTGTTTCAGAGCCTTGGGGATTCAACCAGGACTGGGGTGCTCAATCAGCTGCTCCCTATGATCAAGTCCCCGAGCCAGAGAAGCAGCGATGATTACGGCCCCGAGGAACTGCTAATCCTCCTCATATACATCTACTCTGTCACCGGAGAGCTCACGGTGGACAAAGACCTGAGCGAAGCTGAGGAAAGGGTGAAGAAGGCCTTGGCCCATGTCCTCTCCGAGGAGTCGGAGCTGTCGCCTTTGCTGCAGAAAATCACAGGTGAGTGGGGAGCACCATACAGAACACATATCCTGTGACTACAGAAGGCAGGCTTCTGAGTAAGGACTCCAGGAGGAAGGGACCACTGTCTCCAGCCACCTGCAGGGTCAAGCTGTCTTTCCCGTAGTTTCCTTTTCTGGTAGTGGTAGTGGAATGGTCTGCTAAGTGCTTATCAGAATTCATGTTTGTTAGTGTCAAAGCCTTGGTCAAACAGCAAAATATTCAGAGAAAAATTGTTTTGTAAGGTGTTACCTTGTCTTGGGATTAGAAATCACCATTTTTCAGGATTTTAGTATTATTTTGAGACTGAATTTTAAATAATTAGTACTATCCCAAATGACACCCTAGCCTCCCAGTAAAGTCATTTGAATTTTAATTAATTAGTACTATCCCAAATGACACCCTAGCCTCCCAGTAAAGTAGGCTGTGCTGGTTTGGGGAGAACCTACAATTATCAGAGACTGTAATGGTCCACCTCCAGTAAGAGCTGCGCTATCACTCATGAAAGCATCCACATGTAGTGTATTGACTCTTTCAATAGTTTATATTGGTGTAAAGCTAATTTCAGTGGTATAAGTCATACCTAGAAGTTACTGAAGCCTATACATAAAGCATGAATACTTTTAAAACAGTCCAAGTTTCCTTTCGTTAATTTGCACATGTGTGTATGTATGTGTTTATGTGTATGTAGTAGACATCCCTGCTCAGAAAAGCTCAAGTAAGGCCGATTATGCATCCTCTAGACTCCTGTGGGCCTCACTGGGGGAAGTATGGAGACATCTCTGATCCAGCCATGGTGCTGGAGATCTTAGTGTCCCATGCATGTGTGTTTTATTTTGTGCTCACTTCTGACCTTTCCTGTGGCTGGTTATGGAGAGCAAATCCCTGATGAGATGGAAACTTCATTCAGTTTCCACAGACGGGAAGCATTTCCTTGCCTCGAATGGAACCTGCTTGCCAGTTTATAATCTACTCAAGTAGAACTTGTGGAATTTGTAATCTGCCATTACGTGTGTTTGTTTGGCTGGAAATAAATATTGACTTAGAATGGTTTTAATATGGTTTATACAATGCTTAGAACAGAGCTTTGATTTAAAGTAAATTTGGATGCTAGGGGAATTTCATTGGAAATGATGTTGAAATGAGCAATTCCCGAGACAGACAACAAGGCTAGTGTGCGTGTTCTAATTACAGTTGTTTGGGTAGGCTTTATAACGTTTGTATGTTGACAGTTTATTGTTGGAATAAAGTAATGAATGCTCTAGGAATATTCTCTTAATATTCACTCAAGGTATTAATTTTTTATTAGTTTCTTTATACTTGCTCAGGATATTGCATTTTCTTGCTTTGAAAACACTTCTGTGAATTCATGTTTGTATAGGAAAAAAATTGTTAGCTCATGATTTAAAAATTAAAAAATAATAAGTTGTGGAATTTTTAGTTTTGCTTAAACCTTTCTTTTACAATATTAGGAATACATTTTTTTTTTTTTTTTT